CACACCACTTGATGTCCTGGGCGCGGAGCACTAAGCTCACCAGCGTGAGGACTCACATAGAAAGGGCCAAGTGACACTCGAACTTTTCCCGCTTGAAATACATTCATGAATAATGACCATGCAGGTTAACCAATCGGTGTACTGGAGTAACAGTGGGTTGAGTGATTTAACCTATTAGGGTGATTGGCGGTGTTTAAAGAAATGAACATCTTTAATAGCGGGAGAGGTAGACATCAGCACGTGGTGGCGGTGAACAAACAGACCGAGTGAATCACGTCCTTATGGTTTTAGGATCATGATGCCACCCAATCCCTTTGCAGTAGACACGTTACCTACTGCTTATTAGGGACGGAGATGTAAAGTCAAAGTCAAATGATTTACAGATAATCAGTCTGCGCCTTTAGTTAAACTCGTGACCACGTCTTATCCTGGATGCGCAGCTATAAACAAGCTTATTCCAATCCGCAAAAGCAAAAATTTATTTTCATGAGGAGCAACTTGAAACATGAGGATGAAAGGCAAGGTAAGTATGATAAGGTTACCATGTTTCTTAACCCGGTAATTTTTTCAAGAGGCATGTGACCTAGAGACCCGGAGGTGGTCAATAATAAGAACAGTACTTGAATATGACTGCAGTGCGAAGAAGTTGGGCGTTGAGGCATCCTCTATTATATCTGCGCTGATGTTCTTTGCGTCAAAAACGCATCGACCTTGAAGGTCTTCCGTTGCGTTGGTGGCATCGTGGAGATAACGAGGTACGACGGCGTAATGACCAAGCAATCGCGCGAGGGAAAAACGGCTGTCTGAAGAGGCCGACGTTCCAAGTGCGAACAAATTTGGAGCACGCACGGTCTAAGTGATCAGTGGTTGAACTGACTTACGGACTGCATTCTTGACTGGTGTTTGAGAAGAAGCTGGAAGAATAAGGCGGATCATGTTTCAAGAGGGAATTGTTTCAAATAGGGTGTGCCAACAGGATCAGAGAACCGGATTCGAGGCGCGTGAAGTTCAACAATTAGCGTTGATATGAAGATTTGGTCAACTATGCGATGGATAGGGATATTATATTTAAATTATTATGCAGGGAACAGCGATGATATATCACGCATGGACAATAATATACTCCTTGTGCTTGAGCTATCTCTACCTTTGTAAACCCATAACTTGCTTCTTCTAGAAGTGGGGGAAAAAATGAGACGTCTGTGAGATCTCAGATTACCGGTAATGTAAAAATTATTCAGCGCTTAGTTTCAAGGATTCTGCCTCTATATATACTTAAGATAAATTTTTATTCACTGTCGTGTTCAGTGCAGGATCAGAAACTCTGGGATAAATTCTGTCCAGGGAAAAAGCTCCAGTTTTTGCCCACATTCGAAGTGTTCATCACCATCGAGCCGAAATAAACTCAGAAGGAGATTGGTGAACGCGGTTTCACACGCTGCTATATACACCAAAGAGAAAAGAAGCACGCGCCTGTTTCATCTGGGCTTTCGCTAGCAAACGGGTGACAGTACAAGAGTGTGTGAGTTCCATGAAACATAGTACAGCCGCGAGGTCCATTAACGAGGGTAAAAAGCGGGTAATAAAAACAAGGCTGTTGTTCATAGTAATGGATATGCCATACCGTCTTAAGTATGTGATACTGAATGTGTGCCGTCGCGCTCAGTGGATCGTGCGAGAATATGGGGCGCACGTGTCTTATGTTCTGAACAAAGGGAAATCTTGGAGGCCGACGACTGCGTTTAGGGTCTCGCCTGTCGAATAACAACGCTTGCGTCTTCCCCTAGCACTGAGGCAGCGAGATTGCAGTGCTAACGTGCGGAGTTGACAAGTCGAAGTAATTCTACGTTAAGTGAATTGTAATAGCTAGTGCAAACGTCCACCTGCCCCGTTACGGCTGACGCACACGCTGATGAATGTATTAGTTCACAGCGAATGGTAGCCGTAATACAATTCGGAAGGCATATGCATTAATAAAAGTTTTTACTATGGTGGACAGTGGTGAGCTGAAACATATGTAAAAATAAATGCAAAACGAAATGTGGAGCAAGTCAAAAGAGGAACTTATTTTCCGTGAGAGTTTTTTGGTGAAGGTCCTGACGATGGGAACGTGTTATCTCCGAAGCATAGCTGCTAAACGTTTTCCGGTAGTCAGTTAATGTCAGAAGAGTCACCACTGTGTCGTGACTCGTAAATGTAGGGAAGAAAGGCGAGTTACTTGATCTAGGTAGCGAGTGTAAACTGTGTAATCAAGTGCGCCACCATCGTGTGGCGTGATTTGTGACTATAAGAAAAAGACAGATCTCGTGAGTGGCGGTGAGCTGAAAAGCCATGTATGTGGGTGGAGGGATGGCTATAAATGCACGTGCCACTGTCTAGAATTGTGCACGCGTAATGCTGTCCAGATTGGGTGGACCATGCCACAATCTCACAGTCCCTATCGGAACATCGCAGACCGCGCTGATAGAACAATTAGAACAAACCGTCCCTTGGAGTAATCCCTCTGTGGTGTAGAGTTACAGGCTTCAAATTTCACTTGTCACGGACAAGTGCCAGGCTTCCGATCATAAAGAACATGCTATTTGTTCCATGCCTCAAAAGCTTAGCTACTTCGGGCGATGATATGAGGATAATAAGCAGAACCAGTAGAAATTTCGCCGATGGATGGAATGGGGCCGCAGATGCCAGGCATCCGAAGTCACGTACTACGGTGACGTGACTGCACCACGCTGTATCCAGAATCATGTCCGATTCCAAGTTTGTTATTCCGGATGCACACTGATTTGCGCAGCACCAGAATTGCGAATAGCCCCACCAAGTTCAAGAAAAATATAATCACAATGGGTAACCAACTTTTTCGACTGGGCATGAGGCTTCCTTAACTCCAGTGTCTGTGACGGTATGGAGTCTGCGGGCAGTGTTACAAAACTATCGTTCATTTGTGAGAACGTAAAAAATTACCCACTGTCAATCTGTGAAAGTTTACTTGGAGAATATGTGAACAATTTTCCGTCAGTATAGACTGAGCCAGCAATTATTCTTCTTCCGAATTTTCCTCCTTGAATGTAATGCCTAGTCTTTTCGGAGCTAATGAGGTCATTTCTGGGCGCTGCCGCAGTGGCATCGTCCATCGAGAAAAGTATGGGCTCAAGCGCCCTACTCTCCTTGAAAGCATGTGCCTGAGAACAAGTTTTTGAATTGGGTACGGATAAGTAATATCCCGGTCATCTACAATTTCTCAAGCTGTTAATTTCGAAACCACGTATATTTCGCACTAAGGCATCAGGACTACTTAGAGATACGCAGAAACTTTGCATCCCCAATCAAGCACCGGGCCTAGTTGTAGCCATCCGTAGACAACCCACCATAGGCACAACATACCCACTTCGTGCGTTTAGACGGACTCAACAGTCACAATAGGGGCCGGCGATGTTGGAACGAAGCTGTGGTAGTGTTTATAGGATGTTAAAATAGCGTAGCTGCTGATTCATTTGGAGAAGTTAAACAAAGGCATCTTCAGGCAGCATCGTGCGAGAGTGCGGTATACAAAACTTTGGAAATGGTGCTGATAACGAAGATATAAAAATACTGCAAAGATAGTGAGGGCGGAACGAGATACTTGACTGGATTCATTTGAATTTCCTGTGAAAGTCAAATTTGTATTTGTCAAACGCCGTTCAATCCAGGCCCAAGTAGAAAATAAGTATGACGGAGACCCGCGGACTGCGCCTACGTGGTTAGCCCCAAGGAGATGGAAGCCGGATGTGGTCAGCATCAACAAACGTTGAGAAGGGGGCAGCCCGATGTACAGGGAAAACCACCGGGTCTTAAAACTGACATTCTAAAAAGGGTGCTTTGAAAGCAGAGCACATTGCAATTACAGGCCAAGTCAAGTTCATCAAAGAGGAGTCTGTGGAAGTTGTACGCCTGTGAATCAGCAGCGGCTGATATCCACCATTTATCACTACGACGGGAATGATCCCAATCGAGTGACTGACAACAGGCACCAGATGAACTGACAGCGTAATGTCAACCTGAGCTTGTTTGAATGGTCGCAGAAATCACAACGTTCACACTGTATTTGATGATGGAATGACAGTCTCTAGGACGGCATCTCCATACAAACGCTATTGTTTTCCGATAAATTTAGCGTAAACTTCATCCATTTTCCAGATGATAAATGAAGGGACAACGCCAACCTCATTTACATGAGCTCGGTCACAAAGATGCGGTTGAGGACCAGGCAATCTTCTGACCATACCTTTCCCCCAAAACCACTGCTCTTATTAATATTACCTAGTATTCCTTGAATTTCGAAAGTCTTTTTAACTTCCTTGTATTTCCAAAGGCATAAGCGCGTCATTTTATCCCAGCATAGAGAATAAACCACACTCGATTGAAGATTCACCGTTGAAAGGATTTAATGCAAAAGTACACTGCATATCGAACTTCGCTACACCAGATGAAACAAGTGCTGAATCGTTAGGTTTGTGGGGCATCCATCTGTCCCATTTTGGACACCCAAGCACGTACTCCGACGAGCTTTCCAATCATTCGCTTCGCCAATCAAACGTAGCGTTAGTATGGAAATAATTCGGCAGTCACTTTTTCATGTTTTTTCTTGCACGGATGCAGTCGGTAACTCGTTGATTCGGTGCGGCAATGCAGATTTGCACGACCCAACAAGTACTCGACGAATAGGAGTCAATCTGTGCCCCACAACAAGTAGACTGGATCGTTACAAGGCATTCTTGCTGGAAACTAACACGAACCTGGAAAATCCGGTACAAACGCTACCACCCTTACAGCTTAGACGCCTCTTGTGTTTTGCCTGTTCAGAAGAACCAGCTCGGAGAGTTGGTTATTATACAATAATGGAGGCTTTTCCATACGATGCCAGATTCTTTTAAAATTACTTACTCTGGTTTAGAAACCGGGTAAGACTATGTTCTGATGCGACCAGCTTGGAAAGGAACGTAACCCACTAGTTGACATCCGGTAAGCAGTAATGATGATCAGTAAACGACAAATAAGGAACCAAAGTTAAATAATCGAGACGTGAAACAGAATAGGAAGATTGCACACTGTATTAGGCAAGAAAATCGACAGTGCGTCGGCGAGCGGAGGGGACAAGTATGTGTTGGACGAGCAACATATGAAGCCCAGTTACACTCGCCTGCATCACAAGGACCATAATCCAAAACACTGATATCAGCAGCATACAGTGGGTTGTGTTTGGTCACAGAGGTTCGCGTACAAAAATGAATAAAACAAGACAAAGGTATCAAAATAGGTTGCAATAATAATACTCAGAGCAGTGAGATGACCCAAAAATAGAAAATATAGAGCTGGAGACCTTTCTGGGAAGCTAATACATGAAAGGATTGCGTGCTCGCGTAGACCATGTTGTTCTCATACAGGCCTGAATGTTAAGTCACAGCCACCTGATCAAAACACAATACGGCACGTTGAATTGGGTGTGAGGCCCGGCACGGAAGTGTCAGTTTGTGGACTTGTGCAATGGTAGTCTGTGAAACCGACAATACGTGCTGACCGGAGCTGTCTTATGTAGCGACGTCGAGCTTGGCACCAGCGTCGATAGCGTCCACGGAGCCGTTGTACTACGTCTGGACGAGGCTGAAAGTGTCTGCATAATGTCCAGTTGACCTGAGATGAAGAGCGGAACCGGCCATTCTCAGAGTTCATTCGGTGGTGCAACATCTGCGTGGCTGCCGCGAAACTGGACCAAACACCTGTGTTGGGAACAGACCAGACGTTGTAGGCAGGGCATTGGAGCACAAAAAGGAATAAAAATTCGGCAAGCTTACTCTAATATCAGCTTAGCTATAAGTATCCACACAACGGTAGTAGTGAGCACGAAACAGACGATGATGACCAGGACTAGTAACAGTAAGATGACATCTGGGATACAACAGAAAGCAAAGATTTTTCTAAGTGTTTCGCCTTTGGTGGTGTCCAGTGAGCTCGCTTGGGTAATTATTTGAGGAGGATGGTGCATCGATATACTTTCATATGTACTAAGAACAACTACAAATGCGATTATGACCTCTCTAGTGCTGACCACTTAATCAGCTGCGCAAATAAATGCCCTCGTAAATCTCAGTCAACTTGTTTATGGACGGCAGAAATCGCAAATACTCGAACACCTCGAAAGTGATAAAGTCAAGTTCTGAATTTCTCTTCGAAGCCAAGGAAAAGAAAATAATAAGGACTTGGCTTTCTAGAATATGGAATTCTACGGGTTACTTCTTAGAGGCGAATCTGTCTCTCTGCTCTAGTAGAACCCTCCTAATGTCTGTGGTGACCAGCGGATACCAGCATTATGCTGGCTGTAGCAGAGATCATGGAATCATACAGTCTAAGTAGATAACCCACCAAAAGAAACATAGAGATGCATGAAAAGTCGGTTGACTTTCGCAGCCACGGACCCAATCACCCTAAAACTGTTGTAAAATCTCTCCCAATTAGACCATGTCAATGTATTCATTACTACGATTATGGAAGAAAAATAATAAAGGAGTAGGAGGACTAGCGAAGCCTTATGACAGCATGAATACGGGTGTCACGGTGGATACTACTGGTGGGACATAAGAGTAGTATGTTTTCTCGTAAATCCGCTTTGCGTCAATTGAAAAGTGGTATTTATTAGGAAATTTGTGGAATTGCTTTGCAGCATTTGTTTGCGTCTGAGTAACAGTCAATGAATATACAGGAAAGTTCAGGAAGACGCGTTCGAGAAGAAGACGGATATTCAGTTTCTATAAACAAGGTGCATATGAGAGTTTTGCTTCCTTGTCCAATAGTCTGTAGCTGTTCAGTTGGCGTTTGCTAATAAACGACTCCGCAGAGAAGGTCTTCTTCCTTTCCTACTGAGATTATGGAAGAACAATAGTCCGGGCGTAGGAGGACTAGCGAAGATTTACGACAGTGTGAATACCGGTAGGCGTATACCAAAAAAAAAACAGAGCAAAGGGAAACGGGCGAAACTTTAAGGCGGAGGCATTTGGCTTTCATTTGAAACCATATTGAACGGTCTGAAGCGTCCTAGCTTGGAAATAAGTAAAAGGATAAAAAGATGAGTTATAATGCGACTCAAGAGGTGTGCGAGAAAATGGCAGAAAGTATGCGAAAAGGTGAAACATGCCAAGAAAAGCACTTCTTTCTGAATTGCCTGTCTCGTCAAAAGATACAAACGAACTCAGATACAGGTCAGGTAGTTCATGGTTAGTACTGCGCCATGTATTGAACCATGTGAACGCTCCTTGATTCGAGGGAACAAGACCAGAAAGTTCGATATTCGAAATAGGTGCAGAAAATCAAACAGTTGAATCCCACTGTGAAGAACGATAGGGGACTAGCGAGCAAGATCCGGATAGTGGTCACACAATACGAGTAGATCTGCTCGTCTAGTAAAAAAGGAACCACTAATATCACAATTCTCTTGGTGCGTGACAGAGATAGGTCACTGGGAGAGTATGCGGACGAAGAGAAGCGTTTTTCTAATGGGCGCTCCACGTGTTCCAACTGGAATTGATCTGGAAAGGAATCAACCCAAACTACGCTGAAAGAATAAGTAGATATTCACCCGAAAAGGTTGGAGGTGTTCACCAACATGATCATACCACACAACCGGGGTCTATCTGAATAAATTTACTAATTTTCGAACAGAGGTGTTTTCCAAAACAGTGAAATTAATTTAACTTGCGTTTGGTTTATTTTGTGTGCCACTGATTCAACGCATCACGGCCGGTTTATTGCAATTGACCTATAGCTGACAGACCTTGTCTGTCATAAAGTAATTTCATATACACACTGAACCCGATCATCAGACCAACGGAGTGAGAATACGCGTGAAATCAAGCATTTTACAGGATGTATCAGTTTGATAGCGCGCGACAATCACACCACGTGCAGAGGCACCGGTACACGTGCACTTAAGTTTGAGGGGTTATAAACAACACTACTGGGCTGATATCGTAGGCAGTTATATATGGATTGAATCACTTACCTGCACCTACACCAGCCGCGATGGCAGCGCCCAAGCAACTAGATTCCTCAAAACCACTGCGTTCAATCGGAATGCCTGTTGTATCAGCCAGACGCTGCATTAACCAGTCGGAGAGTGAAACATTGCCATTGACTCGCAACTCGCGCGCAGTAAGGCCTGAAAGTATAGCATGGCATGAAGAGTGTGAACGGATTTTTCTGTGTGAGGATTGTGTGTGTGTGAAACAAAGTGGATAGTCCATGTGCATTCGATAATCTTATTGTGTGATGGCAACTGCTTTCTGCTGACGAAAACAACCCAGCAATAGCCATGTCAGAAGAGCACAAAAACTACTGAAGGAAGTAAAAAAGAAGTTATGGAAGGGGAGTAAGACGGGCAAACTCAAATAAACTTGTTTAGAAAAAATAGAGCACCAAAAAACTGACAACACAGTCCATGAAAATAGTCTTCCCTGGAGCAATAACTTCACCAATAATGACTTTCGTGAAATTCTCTAACGGCAACAGACACCAAAGCATTGAAGGGCCACTGTTCAAACTGCAGCAGTAACAACTTTTTAAAGGGAACCATCCCTGCAACAGACACAGAAACGCGCTCGCCTGAGAATGTCACAGTTTGTTATATATCTCCTAATTAATGTCACGTATGGACACGAGGTTCGTAGAATGGCAAAAATCTGTGCGGACCCAAACCATACTTACGACTCATTCGATAAAAAATCAGGTTTGGCGTAAGTATCCACTGGTGCACAGATGACGATCGGTGTATTTGTTCTGTGGGTTGATAGACATGAACGCACCATTGTCGTTCGTTTAGCTGACCGTTGTTGTAACAAGGTCACTTGGGTACCCCTAAAAATTTTAACACTATAGATGACTGGGTTGATATTGATCCATGTAGGTTTCGTTTTGTTTATCATCCAGCCTTGCCAGAACACGAAAGCGAAGCCATTTTTACAAGGCGACAGAAAATTAAGGCTGTGCAGAAAACCGAGAAATAAGATCTGTAGGACGTGTGTACATCACACGTACACGTAAATCACGCAAGACAGACCAGATGATGATGAATAAAAGAAATTGAGAAGAATTTTCGTCCACTCCAGCGAACGATGGCTTCAGTGGCCAAGTATCTTAAAGGTTCACCATAGCACACTGCACAGATATGCCACTGTTTTCAAGAAGAAACCAGGGAGGGAACAAGCTAATTGGTTTTTTGCTGAAATGTAAACAGACAGTGAAATAGTCTCTAGTTCATCTCGATAGAGATGCGCTGAGTTGTGATAAAGGTGGTAGCAGTTGGCAACAGTCAGAAGGCTTATTAGAGTTCGGCAGGAAATTTTCGACGTCATTAACATTGAAGAAACGACCGTTAAAATATGTAACCATAAAGAAGTCTGTGGTGCACCGCGCTGGAAAACGAGGACAACTAGTATGACCTTATAACGGCTACCTTCAAGCGACTATGGTTTAGTTGTGGTATCTAGCTGCTCTTCAACCTGTCGGAGGTGACAGAGCTGAAATACTACCACTGTCAGTGCCAGGACGATTGCAGCGCGTGACATAGCTACCAAGTAAAGGCGTAGGATTATTACAGTGATACGTACCAGCTTCCTTGCTACACTGCTCAAGCATCTGTCGGATGGTGAATGCGATAGATTCCATTACAGCACGTACGGTGATTATTCGGTTCAACTCAGGCGAACTCTCATTGACACCAACCAGCACACCGTCCGGACCGATAAATTTGCGCCGTTTAATGGTCTCAGAGTATTCCAGAAACTCCTGATGGCGTCTGAGATGGTTAGGTGGAACATTCACATAGAAGGTATTTGCGGTTTTCGCCTCATCATCAAGTCCTGGAGCATGACAGAGAACAAACAGGGGTAAATGAATGGCAGGCTGTGTGATGGAATAACTAGATGAGGAAATAGGCTGCGGATTCTTGCAAACAGCCAAACATAAAGCTAAGCACCATGCCCAACCACGTCTCGGCAACTGACGCTATCACATTGGCATCAGCTTGATGGGTAAGGAAAATTAGCTGTGGCCTTATAAGTTATTTACAGTTCAAATCAATATTTCTGATAAATTCAGTGGGACCCCCACTTCCCATGATTAGGCCTTGTATTCCCGAAAATCCCGCCTATCATTAGCCATATTCTCACATGCTGAGCCACCAGCTGCGGCTTCAATTTGTTTTACAGAACCATAGGTCAATTAACCCACCTACATCGTAGCCAAACCTAAATTCACCAACTAATGAAGAACTAGAAGGAGAATGATGTCAGCAATCTCCTCGACCGTTGAAAACAATGCGTCTTCAAACAATGTCCGAAAGAAACAAGACCTTTGACCCTGTATCTTGTTCGGCCACAGTGAGCACAATACCCGGTGCATAAACGATGAACTATATACAGACAAGTGATACCGTAGGGAACCGATCGGATGGAAAGCCGTGAAGGTTAGGGTATAAGAGTACAAATTCATCACAGTGCTATTCGACAGTAAAAACTTCCATATTCTTGCAACTGAGACCTCGTTTCATAGGTGAAACAAGTCTATTCTGGGATGCACACTGACGTACAGTGCTTCTCGGCTTTTAAGCACAGAGTGGCTTCACTTACAGGGCGAAATCTCAGGTGAAAACTCCAAAATTTTCCCACACTACCACCTATGCTGAAAATCCGAGTACTACATACTTGCTTTATACTTATTTGGAAACATCAGTGGTATGCATCTCACAGAACTTCAAAGAGTTTCAAACTCACTGCCAGTAGTTTGAACGCCTAACAAATCGGCGACGAGCGGCTGACAAGCACTCAGGCACGATATAGTGCCACACATTCTTCAGTCACGGAAACCCCATCACATGGTCACGTGTTGACTGACTCCTCTTGACACTACCAACAACCTACAAGTAGCCCAGATGAAGAATACTTTCACAAGACGGGTGAAACATGCGTTCGGGAAGTCGTCAATCGGGAAACCAGTCAATACCTTACCATGTGATTTAGTTTCCATGATTGAATGATGGATGGTACTAAATCCTAGCCAACTACGAGTTGATCACACTGCTGGTCGGTCAAGTGTGCAAGCTACTAGAAGCGAGGTTGTGGGTTTGAAATTCCCTGGAGTTTTATGGGGTGCGCACCGCTCGTGATTCCAAACAAGGAAACAGCTGTACAGTGCTTCTCGGCTCTTCATCATAGACTAGCTTCACTGAAGGGACGAAAACTCAACTGAAAAATCCCAAATCGCCTTGCGATCCGATTTTAATATTGCCTTCCCGGGTTTTCAGTGGGGAATAGAATTTGTTCCGACACACGGCGCTGATCAAGTATACGCATTGACTTGGGTTTACATGTCGGACGAGATGGCTACCGAACTGAGAGATCTACAATCGACTAACGAGCTCAGTGAGCAAATGTGGCTCGTATGTGCAAGAAGTCGTGATAGAAAAGCTAGGAAAACACAAGAGAGTGAAGTTTAGTGCATCGACCGGTTGTGTTTCGCTGGGCCATTACGTTCCGCGTTCCAGGGGATTCATCATCTGTCGATCGATGTCCCGCAAACGGCAATCAATGAGCTAAGCGTCATATGCCAGATTCATCGGAATGCACATGAACGAGGTTCACGGTAGTTAAATATTTTTTAAAACAGCTATGACGAACCAACGAATCAACGTCAAAAGCACAATATACTAGCCATACAGCGAGTTAATATCTCTCAACCAACGATAGATATTTTAAGGCACGGCAACGGTACAGAGTAGCATCTCGGTTACATAAGGAGTAAAAATACTGCATACACAACCACAGCCAGTATGGAATAATGAGTAATGTCAGGTTAACGTGTGGTTTTTCGTCAAAATAAGCTTAAACAACGTGTGAAACCGCACGTACGGCCTAAAAATAGTCTACCGCACGTAGTTGTGGCAAACCAATGTGGCCGTACACTGATCTCACCACTGCGAGTGTCACTGGTAAATGACCCACTATGACTACCAGGAAAACGTAAATAAGGTGCTACATGAGTACAACCTACCAAGTTGATCCCCTTGTTCCAGAAGTTGTTCCAATTCAGCGTAAGTGTCAAACACATCTGAAAAGGGAGAAGAGTGAGGCAACCGAATGACACAGAACCTTGGACGTTTACGATACCAAATATCGGTCAAGTCGGATGCGGGAGCTGGAAATCCGAACGCCTTAACCATCAAGGACAAGATATGAGATGTGATAACTATGTCAGAATCCTGGGTAAGGGAGATCAGTTTGAATGGCCAACGACTGCCAATAGCACGCGAAAAACCGGCCATTTTGGGGGTTGTGCTTGAAAAAAGATGAAACCTGGGGGTTGAAAAGTCTTCAGCAACTTTATGGGTAGGATGACACGTTAAGAAAACCACAGGAATGCTTTTCCTCCGTGCATATAACCAATAAGACAATCGAATGAGAGTAGGAAGGTCAGCTGGATCGGTGCGACTGAACGGTAATCAGGCATCGGCCGTGGAATATAAATTTTTCCCACGCGCCCAGCCTATGGAGGAAGAAAAACACTGAAAAAACCGCGTACTGGGTAAGGAGATGAATAACCTTATCCCTGTGGTTCATTTTCATGATAGAAACGACGGTGAATGAAAAGGTGTGTATGGATATGTGGCAGTATCTAAAACAAGACCTGTAACATAAAGCGCACACACAAGCTATGGTAGACAGAAATTGTGAGAGGAAGCATTGATCAAACCGCGAAAACAAGTAGCGCCAGAATTGTCCGGAAAACACATACTTTCAAATGATCGCCTGTTTCTCGTTCAGCTACACTGTCACATATTACCGGTGGTGGATAATTGTGGACGGTCAGAAGCAGCTCGATGTCGATCACAGCTGGCTGAACGTCACGTGTGTGACTAGAACACAACTCGATTGTGACAACTGTGACCTCATGGAGTCTTTCTAGAGGACAGCATGCATCCCCAAAACAGCAAAAGTTTTCCTCACTGTTTTACTAACGACAAAAATATCTCCAGGCACGAAAATAATTGAGATGTGACATCAAGTAACGTAAGTCACTGCGAGAAGAAATTTCATCGGGATGTTTTCCCTCTCCGTAAACGGTTCTACTCTCATTTGGTCCGATTCCGAAGCGAAAACATTCAGAAAGGTTTGGGCTTCGTTCTTTCGATTTAAGAGTGAATCAAAGGATCATATGCTTGCTGTTTGTGAGAGAAACCAAAACGTGCGAATATGCTGCGGTGTAAGCAAACCCGCGTAAAGCAGTTGCGTGAAGACACAATCTTGTCCATATCGTTTAAAGGGATACCGGTATATACTAACAGATAGTATACACAACAATATCCGTGGTTCGAAAGTAACCCTCCGAATACGCTAAAATCGGCACATGGCCAACAGGGATGGTCAAACACGGCTGTCCTCTGGAGGAGCAGACGTTAAGCGAATGTCACAGTACGGAGATTCTCCATGAATTGAGTGACGCTGTTGTAAACCCGCCCTTCAACTCTATGTTTAGAGAGGGTGGTTCTTGGTTTGTTCGCTGAGCTGGGCAATTTGACTGAAAACGCTTCTCCATCAATCGAGGTGACATCACCAGTGCGTTGTTACGGGGCGTAGTGGAGAGTAGCGATGGATCGGTGGTTGTGGTTGGTTAGTTAGAGAAGGCTTAGGTAGCAATCAGTCCCAATAAACATGGCTATTTGCTGAACAATCGCCATGTATTTTAACCGTTACTGAGAAGACCGGGAACTTACGCTCTGTTCTAAGCCACTCGATGATCGTGCCTGTATTTGGATGGGACCCTTCCAGTAAGTACGTGAGGTCCGAGGAATGACTGGATGCACAGGGTGATGAACCGCAGGAGCTGACATCCGGTGCAGACATTGTGTCTGTGGGATGGTAACTGGAAGCCCATCCAATCACAGGATAGAATCCTGAATGAAGAACAAGCGTGGCAACAAAGAGTAGTGAGCCACCCCAAAACAGATAGAACGAATTTGGTATCAGGTCTTTTATTCGCAACGGCACAAAGCTACTATCAACAAGACGAAATAGAATTATGCACATTTTGTATCTGATTTTTTTGTATTGCTAGTCCCAGTAGGTTGAAAAATCTGAACAATGGGGTAAGCACTTCTGAGTCACAAAAACAACTTCAGGAGAATCACAAGAGATGTTAAGTGAAAATCAAAACTTTGTCTACAACTTTGAACAGCCGACATCAATGCACTGCTTCCACGCTATGCGGTGACTACCAAAAGGATGGTTGACAGGCACGTGTCTGACACAAAAGCACATTGAAGGCAACGAGAGTGGAAGACAGCAAACTTATGCGCGACTATCAGAAATTCCGTGAATTGTTTTTTCGTTTTCTCAGCACAGTTATATCCCATTTGTTTCTCACTCCTATTCACATCGAATCATTTAGCGAGATAAGGCAAGTGAGCTTTCATTCGTTTTCTCGCACAGTTATATCCCATTTGTTTCTCACTCCTATTCACATCGAATCATTTAGCGAGATAAGGCAAGTGAGCTTTCATCACCACAACTAAGGTTACCATATCCATGAGGTACGTCTGTCAGGAAAAGAGCTCTCCTGAGGGAGGCATCTTCTACTACTTCCAGACAAAGATATTTGAAAAGCCAAACTAATTTATTCCGCGCTGGTAGCAGAAGTGGCAAGAAAACAGCAGGATTTCAAGGGCTTACCGTTCATAAGTGCGTAAGCCTTGTTTCCGGTACTCATGTTCAGAAAACTGCCAGTGCCCAAGGTTAGTTTCGCTTGTCCAAGTCCTAGACAGTCCTCCGTTAAGGTGGCTGCTTGAGCATCCCCGATAAGGGCTGTAACAGCAACCGGTGCAGCATCACTGAGAACCTTCAGTGGTCCATGGCGAACATAGCCGTACAAGTGACTACAGATGGGTGAGAACAGCCGCAAAATAAAGTATATGAGCATCAGCGTGGGCTTATGATATTTCACAATGGCTCGAGGACTTTATGCAAAATGCGACGGAGTTATGGTTTCTTTATAAGAAGAATCCTAAGGGTTGGGTTAATACCTAAGAGGAATTATGATACTGAACAAATCCACCATAAATTTGCATCGTTTTACTTAACAGAAATCCGCGAAGCACTACAATAATCGCAAATAGCTGACTGTAGGTTAATTTATTGAAGCGTCCGTCAGACGAATCGATCGACTGTGTGAACGCGCATTTTTATCGATACACTCTGAAGCCATATCCTTGAATACGACCAAGCAAGTAATCAGGGCACTACCAGAACTCATTGGGCCTGGAAATCATGACGGTGAGATTGATCAAAAGAGTATCCTTCGGCATTGTATCCATGATCTGTGGAAATATGGCTGGCGCTCGACACTAAACGGCAGTCGCATACATGGGAACAGACAGCGGTACGTAATGAGAGTCAAAGATTCTCCGGATTCATCCACGACTTTAATTTGCAAATATGCCACAGCCAAACCAGCCTTAGCAAAAAATTTGGCACCATTAGGTTGAGCGAACAATTCATCTGGAAGATATTGATGCGTACCTAGTACGTCACTGAGAACACTGAGCTAGTCTGCAGATAGTTCCATGAGCCTTCTTCACAATTCCAACCGGTGTGGCTCAAGCCGAGATGATCACCTGAAGAACACTGATCCTATGTAACCGATCCAGGTCCTAGCTGCGTACGGTACTCGGGGTCTTGGCCTGAGAACTGGTCTGGCATTGGGGAGGAGACAGACTTTTGCTTTTGTGCACCATCCAAGTCCGTCGGCGAATTTGAACTCAGAGTTTCAGTTCTTCGACTAAGCTCAAGCACAAACAAGTGCTCATACTGTTGTTCCGTTTGACACTAATTCACCCTTCTCCTTTTCAACAGAGATTTCGTCCTTTCAGAGAAGCCAATCTATGCTGAAAATCCGAGAAGCACTGTACAACTGTTTAATCTTTGTTTGGAATAATCATCAGTGCGCCCATCGTGAAATTCAAGGGATTCGCAAAGCGGCGACCTCGGCTAATAAAGGATGAATAGTGTCTGACAACCGTATGAATAATTGAAGGTAGTATATACTTATTCAGAAACTTAGCTGGCTTTGACTTAGTTTTCAGCCAGAATGATTCCCTCTCAGTAAACATACTTTAAGTAAAACAATCTGAACAATAGGTAACATTCAATCCACACTAATCAGATGAAAAATCATATAACAGAGAATAATACTCTTGACAGAAGCCAATGAGGACTGAGCAAAAAAGCAATAGGTTGCTGGCCATAAAAAATGCGGATTATGAGGGGATCAACGGAATAACTGAAGTGTATAAATAATGTGAACGCGCCTACCGGCAAGCGCAGGCGGGTGCTTGGTCGAAATCGGCAGCGTTTCGTGCCCTACGGGTCAACCAACACCAAAAACCCTTGTGCAAAACATATTGCGAATTAGGATTCAGATGGTTGGACAAGATATCAAGCACGAACAAAGCAGCCTGGGTTAAACTACGATTCCGGTAGAATGCGTGCGAGTCGACGGTGTGGACATCACATGTAATCCAGACAACAGTAGGTGGACATTTGGATTGGTCACCAGACTTTGCAGCTTACCTTGAAGGAAAAACTTCCGGGAGGATTTCACTGGGTATTCCAAGAGCACACAGTATAGGACCGCTCCATCTGCGCTATAAAGCAAGAACAGGCAGAAAAACATGAATCAGCATTCGTGTGGGAATGTACACTATAGCGAGTAGAAAACAATCCAGAGAATAAAATGCACCCCAATTTGTGTGAAAGTCAACTGTGACTGGCTTGGATCCAATCGTGATCCCATGGATAAAAGAAAACTCATTTTCCCTTGAAAAAACAATTCAGAAAATATGTCACCGATTTGCAAGTTGTAACAACAGTGGGTTATCTACCCATAGATTTGGAATATTGGACTTCAACTAATAATCGCAGGTTTTTGCGAGAAGGGGACAAAAAACATAGGCATATGTACGTAATACTGGTAGGCAGATATCCATGTAAGAATAAAGAGTAAGCTACCCAAAAACCTCATGGACCGTAGCAAATATTGCTGAAGCGAATGGCTAGTGATTCGTTACGAGCAACCGAAAGTTGTGCCACTTCTTATCTTCAGAGAGACCCTTGCTTGCTTGATCATGTAAAGCACATTTAATTAATTGAAATAAGCCTACTTAAAAACCGAACAGGGATTGTGGGTATGGTCGGTGCCTAAAGAGCTATGTATGTTTAGGGTATCTCATCTTGCGTATTGGATTACCGTTACCGGTAACGTGACAGTTGATAGGAATTCAACAAAGCGACCCATAAGGCAAAGAGCGTTAGGTTTTTTGAGCAATCCTGCCTGGTTCCCGTGAGAATAAACAAGTTCGGCAACAGAAACACCAATGAATGCATTGCTATGAGAATCCCTAACATCGTTACCCGTTTCCAGTATCCTTATTAGTGAAAACAACGGTCCAAAAGTCGCTGAGTTCCTTGGTTAATATTATCGTCGTCATCAACTTCGATAGAAATCCATCCGTGATATATAGTGTTTCACTGTCATACAAATCAAAGGAAATAAAAGCCTAGTAGAAAGTGAAACAGAATGGAAGAGATCACGAGTAGGATGCCAAAAATCTCCCACAGTATTTGGCATAACAGCTGCCGCCTTCAATTCGGATTATCATGAAATAGCCTGTCCTGTGTTAACCTTTAGCAGACAAGAACTAAGAGTAAAAAACTGATTTCATTGAACATTAAACATTAGTAATACCTGTCCTAACCGCCTTAACCGGATGAGATTTGTTTGCTGCTCTACTGGACCTGATTCATTACGAGACATAAGCCTCCTAAGAGAACAGATATAGAAGAAACCGGTTCGGGGAAAGAACATTAAACACAATAAACATAGCCAAATTAGTACTCTTGTCTCCCAGAACAAGATGAAACCTAAGAAGTGATCGCTGGTTGTTTGACCTATCGGGTACGAAAATTTTGCCCGGATGAGATCCGTGTGTCTACGGATGACGTCTCGCTAACATACAACCCATAAAGAAATTAGGTATAGTTCTGATTTCCGTCTGTCATCACCTGGCTTCCCAAGCCTATTCACACCTAGTTACATTCGCACGGTAAGTTCTATCAGCTATGTTGTCACCTTGATGTTACGGTGGTTGGCGTATGCCAGTGTAACGACAAACATGTTTGCGAGAAGCGCAATGGGGTCTGGTATCTTAAATAGTTCTTTTCATCCGGCAAATTGACCAGCATAATTATCAATCGCTGTAACAGTTGGGTTACGACGACTATTTTGATTGTGTGCGTCTTGGTTGTGTACGCTCAGGTGCTGTCAGGGGGGAGGATACCTTTGGCTTGGAAGCTCAACTGTATCGTAGTGGTGGTAAGGCTACTATAGTGCTCGACTTTTAGAGAGCAAGCCTCAAACAAAAAACAGATCATGGTTGCTAGATTCCTACTCACTCACCAATCTGGTAGTTGAGACGTTCCTTATTAACATCCTCTGATACAGCTTACCGGCCTGCTGAAGTCGAATCTCGATGCGGTAAGGACTTCATAATCCAGGGTTTTGTAGCCCAGTCGTGCTTAGTCGGTCAGACAAGATCCACGGGATCACCGGTAAGATCGCACACATACTCAATCAGCGAAGGCCATCGGGTTCGAAAAACTCAAAATCAACGGTCGTCAAATTCACTAGATACATTCTAATTCGAACAAACAACATATTCAAAAAAGTGCAAAAGCGACTTACGGTGAAAGGATCATACATTCCTGACACACTGGCACAACTGACGTCTGTGCAAAATGCCTCGCCCCCGGTCAAGCGCCAAAGAAACCAAGTTTCCAGACACCCGTAATAAACGGAACCACGACGGCATTCGGCGAGAAGCTGTGAAAAAGCAGCCAGATTTACGTAGAACTGATAACTTCGTCAGCCTATATTACGGTAGACTTGAGCACCGGAGGAAAAACATTAGCACCATTTGCACAGTATAAGTAGCAAAAAACGGTCAAAAACGGTATCACCAAAGCCGAGTATTTGCGTACCATAAAGTGCAGTCGCCGAATAAGATAATTGAATGGTATTTTTGTATGACACCAGCGTACAACATGCAACGATTTCGGGTAAATTCAGAATTCCTTATTTCTACAAACGTGTGGGGTATAAACATCTAACACCGTCTGTATCTTGGGAAAATGTGTTTATATTATAAATAGGTGCGAATCAAAAAGACACTATTCTAAGGGCTTGTTACGGTCATTCAGTTAATTGTCATGTCAACGGCATTAATGCCTGTATCATGGACCTAAAGGAAAAAAGTGCCTCGACTGACTCGCGATCGTGTGCGCGGGGTAGTGTATTTGAAAATCATACGCCAAACATTGAAGTGCAATAAACGAGAAGTATGATTCTGTTCGTCTTTACACAAGATTATCAGAAATTCAACAAAAACCTTACCTACCTTGACACCCTTTGTTGGGAAAGGTAAGCTACATAATCTATTCCACGAACAAACTGGTCTGTTAACGGAGACAGCCCATACTTGCGTCACGTAAGCAACTCAGCAGACGCACAGGATTGAAATGGACGGTGTTTCACTGTCCCTGAACGAACGGGGTCTGTTATAGACGAAGTACACTCATTTGCAAATTACTTTAGTGTCGACTGGAGGCTGAACAGAATCCGTCGTCTGTGATATCTTTCGAAGGGTGTTCAGCAATCTTGTAAATAGCATATTAAAAATGCCAGTGTTTACAAAACCATTATGAGCTAAGGCAACACTCGAGCAAATTCAACCAGAGGTGATGTGGTAACCAACGGAACTAACACTGGTTTGCTGCGAGTCCGATCAATTTACCGCAGATATTCAGTGCGAGAAAACGATTCAATAGTGCGGACAAACTGTGGGGTATCGCATTAAATAGTCGAATGCGCGATGTCTCGTATGAAGCAACCGACCGGCAATCAGGATACATAATGCACCGATTTACAAGCCATATAGTAAAAGGTGAAGAGATCACATGTGAACAAAAGTGACGTTTGTGTGGACAGGATCAACAGGATGTGCAACTGACTAGGAGTCTGCGTAATCCACCAAAGGAGTGAGATCTAAAAATAGACGATTATGTTTAGATAGGTCCTGATGAAACCTAAATAACGTGATTGGGGATGGTGAATGAAATTCGGAGTCACAAGTCTCGTCTAGGCGTTTTTGTATCTGATGGAGTTACTCAAACAGTGAGTCGAATCACGAACATCAACCATCGTGCCTAAATCGGTGAAATACTTGTTGTTTGTGGTTGGGTGGAAAACACGCGAAGGGCGAGCTGCCTCCGAGTAGGCTTTGTGCGTACTCAATACGACTACTGCCACAGAAACATCCAAGCGATAAATGAGAATCTGAGGAAGGAATTCGACAGCCCCTTAACAGAGACCTTATGAGACCTGTATCATATATCACACACATCAGGCTTGCTTTTAAATGCTTGTCACGGAGTAGTACACAGGGGTCGAGGCTCTAGCCACCCATAATTGTGCATTGCAGCAACGCACTAGTAATAGTAATAATATTGGTAATAGTAACGATGGCACAAGGTGTGGTATCCTTCTCGGTGAATAGCTTCCACTCAACTCAAAGGACGTACGAAGGCTAAGATACTGCCAGGTAGCACAAGCTTAGACAGGAGCAACCGAAAAGCCAAGTTTTGACAGAATATGCCTACTGTTAAATCGTCAAAACCCAGGCCGTTCACAGCTGAAAAAGATGAATTGAGCTTTGAGCTGTAGACGAAATTTAAGTGACGTATGAGAAATAAAGACCGGGAAGCCGTTACCACATGAGATGTTCAAAAAAGATGACACCGGGTTTGCGGTGCACTTCCTCAGCAAGTCACAAACATGAATTGTCAGAACAACAACCAAAACCGCCAGTCACCCAAAGTGGACAAACTGATATGTACACAGATTTGCTAAAAGAGTCCAACATTTGAAATGGAACGTATACAACGGGCTGACACAGGCGCTTGTAGAAATTCACAGTGTATGGAGGAAACAGCACCTGGTTAAACAACGGGAAACCTAAAATTAACTGACATCACCAAACGGACCCGGATGGTGCACAGGTACATCGAGACCTACACTACTGTACCGGCCAAATCAGTGGTAATTTATGACCTAAAACTGAGAGGCAACTGAATGTGACAAAGGCACTGTACAATCTGTAATAGAATCACGTGTGGGTCACATGAAACGTGGAAAATGCTGCTGCGGTACACAGAATACGAACGTGTTTGCAATGCACATCACGAGAAACAAAGATCGGGGTACCCGAAATTCCAAACCACAGACGCAGGCAAACAATACGTCATTGCTCTATATGACTGACTTGTTTGAGTGCAGTGGACATCTGTGTGCGGACTACTGGGTAGTGACACATCAGATTGTTGACGGAGCTACTATTGGAGTGAAAAGTTGCAAAATCCACATGTCTATAATTTGCAGCTCGAGTGGGATCACACTCCCAACCGATATCAGTTTACACTTACCATCCCAAGAAAAGACATGAAACAATTCGACAAATACACTTATTTGCACACAAATTGAGATTTCACAGGAGATTCAGGTAAAGAACATCTTGGGTAAAAAATTCAGGTTAATGAGCTGCACCAGATCGGTATTCGAGATGATACAACACAGTGCATACACGTAACATGCTACTCATAAGGCTGTCGAAAACTTTTCGACACTCCACGATCCTACCACGATCGGTTTCGCCCTTTTTGAGACACATCAAGTAGGCGCAGTGTCCGAGTTTCCATCAACCTTATGTCATGGTTAAAGCCAAATTGCACGAAACTCGACTAACACACTTATCTGCATACCAATTTAGTTTAGACAGGAGACTTACTTAAAATCTAGATTAATCCCGTCTATGATATTCTTCTTCAATGTATTGTGATAGCTCGAAACAGGAGGCAGTCTGGTGCAGCACATTCAGTTGGAGAACATCCTAAACAGAGGTATCAACTGAGTTTCACGTGAGTCTCCCGTGAAATCCAAATGCGTATGCGAATGAGTGTACAGGTCGAATTACTTGCAATTCGGGTTCAAACGGAACATAAGGTTAACGGAAACTAGGGGGCTGCACCTTCCTGTTGTGCCCCAAAAAGGGCGAATCATCATCATCATTGTCAGTTGTTATAACCGCGTACTCGTCGTACAGTGGTTGTAGCTACCACAGTTTCGTTCACCGACGATTGGTGGGGTAGGTAGCTCCGCGTTGCACGCGGGAGATGATAAATTGGTGGATTAGCATTGTCAGTGGGCTATCAAGTGGGTGGTTGGGAAGGGAGCTATCCAATGAAGGCATTAGTTTGGATGCACCAGCACCACTGAGGGCGCAACCAGGCCATGTCTGACAATGTCTCCAACCACTGATGTGGCCCGTCTCGGGGTCACCATCCAGGAAGACGGTGATGACCAGCAGAGCTGAGTTTGCTCGCTGCCAAGTCATTGTTTGACCACCTCTGGCTCTCTTCCACCTTTCACGTAGTTTTGCGCAAAACAGCCCTTCGAGGAAGTCGGTCGACTGGCATACGCAGCACGTGGCCAAGCCAGCGCAACCTGTGCAGTGTGATCAGTTCATCCATCGAGGGTGAGTTATTTTTTCCAAATACCATTCGACGTACTTCAGGATTGATGATCCGGTGTTCCCATCAAATTCGGGCACTGCTCCGAAGACATCGATGGTCAAACACTGAAAGCTTTTTGACGTCCTCAGCACGCAGCGGCCAGGTTACTGATCCATTTAGCAATATGGAGCGCACCACAGCATTGTAAACTCGACCCTTGACAGAGAAAATGGTGTCACGCCTACGCCACGGGTGACGTAGGTTCACAAAAGTTGCAAAACCAGTCGTGCGTTGTCGAAAAGTTTTCAGCAACCCTGTGATTAGCGCTTTACGTCTATAGGATGGGACAATTATTCCTTTTAGTGCAAATGAAATCGAGCTTGCTTTAGCTCACCAGTTGAGATACACGGTGGAATGAAATACCAAATCCACCGCAATTTTTTACTACTGTGCAAACTCGCAGTATCTCCGCTCCTTTATTTACTACGGAATGTACGACAGCTATGTACCTAAAGCGTACCAGAGCTGAACGATTTTGTGATCCGGCAGAATGTCAACCCTCGTGATTCTCCTGTCTCAACTGTGCCTCAAGGGTACCACACAGAAGAGAGGGTTTGTGGCTCAGACGCAACGCCCAGCTTCGTTCCAAATTGCGACAACGCAGTGGTGACATCATCTCAATTGGTAATAAAACGCCGACAACAAATTTCCAGGCTTAGAGAACAACTCAACGACCAAAGAGTGCCGTGATCAATCGGGTCTTTACCAAAATCGTGGTAATCTCATTATCCGTTAGCCGGTTGTCTCAGACTCTATAGAACTTACCCATGGTGAATAAATGACTCACCTAAGTGGTTAGCGTCAATGATTATCTAAGTTCACTGATCGGTCAACGGTAGTGCTTACCACTGATTGCAATTGCGTCAGGTGACTTAACCGAACCTAATCGGAAAAATGGTTATTTCCAAAATAACTCCCTCAGAGCATCAGCGACTAAGATCTTAACTGTAGGACATGCATCAATTGAGCCGATTCATTTTGAGGTTACCAAAAAGTGTGTAAACGAAGAGCTTACCAACGGTCGTTCATCCAGTACATGCTTTAGACGGATGCAGGCCAAAATGGTTTTGAACCGATAAGAAGCCAATGCCTTGAACCGAGGTAGTCTTGTCATCCAATAAAGAACGTGACCGCCCGCCTTCATACTCTGTGTAGGAAAAATATGCAGAGTGAACAGTCTGACCGTCAACGAAACAGGCGTGAGAATCACTCGGTAAGCTAAGCAAAATCACCAAAGATGGAAGAATAATAGTGGCGAAGTTGATTGGGCTTGGTATTGAAACATGAAGCGGAAAGCTGGTAGTTGGATGCGGGTGAAAACCATCGTCCAGGTTAACGGAACAGTACGGACAAATCTCGAACAGCCTTATTTTGGTTTCAATTGTCCAACATATCGCACTATACACTATACTTTCACCAAAACTGACAAAACCATGAGCATAGCGAGATAAAACCAAGACTAAATTGAACTGATTTGGTTTCCATGTTTTCTTACAACGTAAGGATGAAGGCTGCGGCAATACAGAATGTTCAGTGTGATTGTGAGCTAAACCAGAAACGGATTAGCGAAGCACATTTTTCTGAATGAAGTAAAAGGTCACAATTTTCTAAGAGTTGTAGGTTCTTCTGTGAATACTTTTTGCACACAACACTAATTGCACGGCTTCGACGAATCGGTGGGAGCTGTGATCACGGAAGACGAATAACTTTGACCGGGTAACGACTTGAGATCCGGTAACTGGTTAACGTTGCGGATGATCCAACATCAACGCATGGTGACGGCATCTGAATTATAAAGTCTGAGCAGACTTGTGTGTAGTTTTGGAAAATGATCGTCTCAACGACTGAGGTTCACTTCCAGCTACAGCCGAAGTTATGCACTGGGTTCAAGGGTCTTCACAATTCGAACAGAAACTAGTAGAATGTACGCTGCTCGTCTGTTGGGGACCACACAATAATCGAGGTCCATTCGCTGAAGGCGCTTAACCAAACGTTGCCTAAATAAGCTGCTTACTTATGAAGGATATCTCAAGGATACCGTGCATAAATTAGAAGCCACGTTCAGTTTCGGTTGGTCAGTTGCAAATCCGAAGTACATGATTACATTAATTGTTTCGCTGCTGAATAGACAGTGGACAGCGATGCACAGAGAGAAGTGGTAACCAGCTGGTTAATGACCGTGAAACAGCGCCGCGACGGCACTCAACTGAGGAACTTTTCCGTTGGAATAGACATAGCTACGAAGAGTACAACTTTTAGTACAAACTGGGCAACATATCCAAGCAATTTGTTCATGGAGATGACAGCAACCAAATCGATCAATGTACTGTTCGTATGTTCCGTTGCTACAACGAAAACCAATTTATCCGTAATCCTTCGTAATTGTATGGGTCCCATTAAGCAGCCTTCAGAACGGTACTGTACTAGAAGTCCTGGTAAAAGATGCTTCAGTTGATAGGCACAAGTCAGATAGAAGAAAGTAGGGCGCATACTCAACCAGAAAGGGGGTTCTACTCCCACTTTAGCAATAACACTCAGAAGGGAACTATTACCCTACAGATGCATATATATTTTACTCAAAAACCGTCTTAACTAGACTGCCAGGGAACTATCTGCCACATCAAGCGCCGCTGGTCCGATGCCCGATATTTTTTCAACACATGTTAATGGGCATGGTGAGACATATCAGTCACCAGAAAACACAAGCTATCACCCACTGGTATGTCCATGGAGCTGGGCTACCGTTCGGACGAAACCTTGAAGGACCAACTAGTCGCATGGAATGCTTGGCTTTTTTTACTGCAAGCCTACTATGGCCTTCACACACCTGACATAGCGTGCTCTTAAATTGCGCCCCCCTGGGCATACTTTAGCGAATGCACTACACTAAGACACAACAACAAAGAAAATCCTGCAGACAATCAAGTGCTACTGAGTATGAAGAGTATTTTCTTCAGAGATTTCGAGAAGCTATGTCTAATAACGGCGAAATGTTGGAATTTCTGAGGTTCATGCTAATTGGCATTTGATCAAGTGATGGTTTGTATGTTCACCGAGCCCGACAATTTGTTTGCAAACACCTCGTCACCATTCGATGGTACGTCAATACCCCTTCGGTGGGCACTTCTGTTTTTCTTGCTGACGTTTATAGTCCTTGAAAAGTAGTCTCTAACACAACTGTTTCTTTGAAAACCACCATCCTGACTGTCTTGTATGCGGTCAACACAGCGTTATCTTTAATCCTTCTTGAGTTTTATTGGTACATTAAATACTTCTTTTTGTTCATTCATTCGGTTCTGATTTGTCTACTGGTAACTTGTGTTGCGTTGTTTCTAGACGTGAGTAGCCAGTAGTAGCAAACGAGGCTGTTGCTGAATACTGCTCCAGGTGCACACATGAAAGCCTTGGAAACAAGAAGGATGTGTATGACGACCACGATAATGGTGAGGATGTGAGGGCAGTCAGAACTCTGATGTCCAAGCAGAGTTCGGCAAGGACCTCAACCAAACCAACAGGTTGAGGATAAATCGTGTTCATCTAAAAGGAATCAAGACGCAAATCTTTCGCGGTGTATCATCCAAACTCATTAGCTAATTTGGCCCTCAACCTGTACAAAAATATGGAACATCGATCGTAGATCGACAGTCATATTGATGAGATATGTGCCCTTGAAAACGTATCAGCATTGGCTGCAGTGCTACAGATACGATAAAGCCTTGAAGGTCTCTCTAATCTTTTCTAATTTGGTACGCTTATGGTCAAGGTGGAGTATCCTCGGGTCACATGTCCGTTGCATCAATTCCATGAGAAAGAGAGTTTTGGTAATATCGGTGAGTGAAATACCGGTAACTCGGGTGCGCCAATTAGCTGTAGGTCAACAGCCATCTGATCTGTGGCCAATCAACGCACCCCAGATGCCAATATTTCGACATATTGCCAAACTTTCTAACAAAAAGCCTCAATATTACTGATTACGGTAACGTCACGAAAAAATCGTGTGACTTTCATTAGAGATGGCGACATGTTAACGAGGAAAGCGAATTACGAGATGCAAGGAAGTTGTCATTACTAAAGTTAGTAAATTAACTCAGCAACAGTTCTTTATACGGATGGACATAAATAAAATGAAGACCTCACTTTATTTCTGTCTTGGAACTACAATCTGTGATTCAAAAAGATACTTGTTCCCAATGTTACAGTTTGGCTCCACGCGACTGAGTTTAGTCGTCGGATTCGCAAACTGAACATTAAGATAAGAGGAGTGAGACTATGCTACCGACACTTGTCGTCGGGAAGACGCTAGCATTTCACATCAGGCAATGCTGCGGAAGTGCCCGAGTCCCTTTGACCTTAGCGTATTGCTTACACAAAGTCCACAGCTTCCCAGTACGAGTCGACATCCGAAGATGGATTATACGGATGAAACTACAAAAGGTGATTTTGGTAAGCATGCTTCACATTAAGGTTCGAGAGATTTTCAATGGCCAGACGAGTGAGGCGTCTCTTTCGCAATCCCAAAGCATGCAGGCTGACAAAATACCGCAAGGCTGGAGTCTACACGGGATTGATCGAGATGCCCACGGATATGAAGAGTTTACGTGCACAATTGAGATAGTACTTACTCGGAGGACCAGTGAGTTGTTCCACCTTTTTGTCAGATTTGAAGCGCGCAAATCTTGCCACGTGATAACATTTGTTCGAGGTTTGGATGTGTCTCTACAGATACACTATTAGGAAAAACCATTAAATTCAACAAACTTGTCCCAGAGAAGTAAGCTGTTCCTCTGAACGGATATGCCGACGCACTTGACATCTTCAGGCGTAACATCAGCATCTTCAAAAAATAGAACAGGTCAATTATTTGGAGTGATTACTTGATAACGCATCCTTTATGACCTGGCAGAGGCATGTCCAAACACCTTCCGGATCCAGTTCACAGGTTCCATCATCTGCCTCGATCCGGACAACCTACATAAAAGAAATATCACAATTAAAGAATGTAACAATCGTTTCACACAAAACAAACAAAAAAGGGTGTGAAAAACCATCAGCTTCTGGTAATGCAATGTAACTGAGCGCCTGTGGTGTTCGTCCAACCTGGATAAAAAAACTAATGTGGAACATCAAGCCTAGTGATTTGAAATACGTTCCAAAATATATATATTCGTAATGCATAAGGATACTGACAATTTTTCGAAAGCGCACGACCTTATGGGTAGTGCATTACGAATATACATGTATCGCGATATCGAGAATATCGTGGCAGCTGAAACATGAGGCGGCCTGGTGAGGCATATTCAGTTGCCTGGAAGCATCACAAATGAGAGATTCAGCTGGGTTCCAGGTAAGTCACTCGCAAACCAAATTTGTTTGCAAATAAGTGTATTTTGTTAACGTTCCGATACACTTCACAAAAGATCGACGAGCTCTGTGTTGACCACATCCAACGACATATCGCGGTAACGTGGACTGAAATACCCAAGATCGGATTCAACAAACAGCTTTAGTACACCGCAACATGCTGTTGTTGTTGAGTATGCGTTGTTGGTCCGTACACTCTGCAACCAGCAATATAACAAACCCCTATTTTCGACGTGAATACGGACATCAAGACATTCGGCGACCTGTCTCAAGTTTCCTAGAAGACTTCGAAGCATAGGAACATTGCTTTTGTAAAGCCCTATGTTACGCACGTACAGCGATCACCTATTAATGAAGGCACTTGTTGCAAAACTGCAAATTTAATAGATGTCCGTGTTGAAAGGCTACTCACCTGACATACTAGGCAATTCCGACGTCCACAAAGGAGAATAAACTGCTTACTAAACCATCAATGACCAACCTGATCATAAACAAAGTCATTACCCATCTCTCTAAGCCCGTCCACCCGTTTCTAGTACATATAAGTCTGCAACCCCTGCACACCGACCATCGATAAAGGGAAACAAATACAATAACCGAAATGCTGACCAGCTATCAAATCTGTCTTATTAAAACCGTCTTCGTGAAGTTCAGCCCGAGCAGTCAATCGTAGTCATTGCGCTCCTTCGTTTCACCCTCCATTTCTCATGCCCATGATACCTTTAAATATCTTCGATGAGATGAATTTGATATATACGTGGACCAAGCAGCTAAAAAAATCCGACAGCTCATCACGTATCATAGCAGCCTATCTATTGCCATATCCCGAAAATGTCCATCACTTTGACGCAAAACTACATCAGCCTCTTCGTTCAGTTGATATTTTCCAATACTTATTGAAGAACAGCTTCTGCTAGGCTTATTGAATGGTAAATGGTCGAAACGGGTTCTGGCGAGGCCAGTAACTGGGGGCCTGTTGGCATAAAAATAATAATAGAAATTGTTCAGCTGTAGCACTCTTTCGGTGTCTAGTTGCCATGCCACCAGATGGAAGCACGAAAGCTGGGATACTTCCAGGTTGCCCAAGTCTAGACAGAAGAAGTCGAGAGACAGAATTCGGGTTCGAATCAAAGACTCCCCGGTCAGTAGATTCGCGACCTAACCACTGAGCTATCCACCTCATACCTATCCTATTCCACGGTGGACACGTTCGGTGAAATGTAAATAATATCACTTGATGTCCCGAAAGCCTTCGACCGTGTATCACACACTGGTCTGTCCAAACTGGCAATGCATGGGCTACTCCCTCAGACGAGTGACCAGCTGTAAGGCTTCAAGCTTCTAGAAATATCGGACCCTAACAGTTGTTTCCAAGGCTTGCGGCATCAATGTAGGGGTCCCCCAAAGGTGTTTCTCTGTGTTTCGGATGCACATAGACCTTTCTCCTATTGTTTCCTATAAAAACCACCCGTCAGAAATTGCGGTCCGGAATTCTTTACGGTCCACTAAATTTCCACCAAATGTTCAAAACCAAAGTTCCAGCGGAAGCCATTCACGCCATTGTTCCGTTTACTTGATTGGTACGCATGTAATCTACATGTCATTGGCCGTGTGGCTATTCTTCCTTCACAAACCGTTTATTGCGTAATACAAAAGCTGCGCGATAAGCGTAAAGCCGACGAATTGGTGAAAAATGAGTCAGCCCTTGAAGACACAAAACCTTAAGACGATTTTAACAACTCTGACACTCACTGTGCCAATGTGATGATCGCTTTTGTTTGTGGCGGTGAAGTACAGCTACACTAAGCTCAAGCTTGCTGTTGGATGTTTGCGTATATTGTCATTTACTAAGAGTTTACGCTGAGCTGGTAGAAGCTATCATTTTCAATGGATGACTATCCTCAGCTCATAAACCAACGTCGGCAAATAAAGTGCGGCGATTGGAGCTTGCGAAATCGGTACACGGCCTATACACTATACCCTGGTGGAAAAACTGCCAGAGCTCACAATTCGGAGCCATCATAGCGGCAGTGCTACCAGAACACACTTCAGCAGACTGCTAATAGTTATTCTATGACAGGTGGCGCGAATGACGTATGTGGCTCCACTTAGTCGTGACTTGGGATAACCCAAGTCTCAACCATCACGTCGCCTGCCGACATACGTGGCTCCGCGGTGAACTGGGCATCCTGGATGACCTTTCGTTATCCAACTGACATAGAAACCAAGTACGCCTTCTTCCCTATGTATCACAAGTTTGGCAAATTTGCTACCACAGTCCACGCAACCCTGCTAGCTTTACTGTGTGCATGGGCCGGTGAAACAGTTTGTCAATTACCTAGACGATAACGTTTCCTCCCTAAAAGGCGTTTACAGGATAACAGCATCATAATATGGTAGGACTGGTCCTCGGGCTCTGTTGCGAAGTGTAACAAACGGTTCCCCCGAGATACTGATGATACAGTATCCAGTGAAGCATCACTAGCTTATTAACCCTCTTCAAGTGGACAGAAATCGAGGGTCGCCGATGCGTTGTCAGATATAAGAAGTCGCAAAATGGTGGACAGCGCTTCCATCATCGCGCGCTATTCGTCATTTCTTCCCACGCTTCTATATAGTCAAGCTCTGATACAACCAAGGATCAATTCCATCAACCACCGCGTGCTCTGTTTCGCTCTCGTCCAGTCAGTCAAATGTTGGATTCAAATGCGAATGCATAGTGAGACACCCACTCAAAGGGACCTTTCTGTTTCGACCACATCCGAAAGATGATATTTTCATCCGGATTTGGAAGGCCAGAGCAGCTTTTGTGAACCTGCGTCACCTGTGATGAAGGCGTGACATCAGCGTGACATCACAACGTTACTGTGAGCTCCATACTACTATAAGGATCAGAAACCTGGCTGTTGCGCGCTGAGGACGTCAGAAGACTTTCAGTGTTTGACCATGTCTTCGGAGTATTGCCTGAGTCTGGCGGGAACACAGGATCATCAATGCTGAAGTACGTCGAATGGTATCCGGAAGAAATAACTCACCCTCGATAAATGAACTGACCACACTGCATCGGTTGCGCTGGCTTGGCTATGTGCTGTGTATGCTAGTCAACCGATTTCCTCGAAGAAAAAGAAAGCGTTCAGCTGTAACACCCTTTCGGTGCCTAGCTGCCATGCCACCCGAAGGAAGCACGAGGGCTGGGATACTGCAGTTTGCCCAAGCCTAGACAGGGTAAGTCGAGTGGCGGAGGTCGGATTCGAACCACGGACCTTCCGGTCAGTAAATTCTCGCTCTAACCACTTGGGCCATCTCGCCCCGATTTCCTCGAAGGGTTCTTTTCGCACAATCACATACAGTGTGGAAACGAGTCAGAGGCGGTCAAACAATAACTTGGCAGCGAGCAAACTCAGCTGCGCTGGTCATTGCCGTCTCCATGGATGGGGACCCAGAGACGGGCCACATCAATGGTTGGACATTGTCAGAAATGGCCCAGTTGCGCCCTCAATGGCGCTCGTGTATCCAAGCTATTGCCTTCAATGCACAGCACCCTTCCCAACCCCAACCCCCTCTTAGAAGTCCACTGGCAGCGCCGTATTTACGCACCAATTTATCAGCCCCCTCCTCCAAAGCGCAGCTATCTACCCCACCTCCTCGAATCATCGGTGGACGAAACTGTGGCAGCTACAACCACTGTATGACAAGTACGCGGTTCTTACAGCTGGCTATGAAGATGATGATGGCGATCACATCCGATCGGATAACTGAGACTGGATTCTCAGCTGGCGGGTTATAACCTGTCCACCACCACTGCCAGCCATAGACGATTTCAGTGTTAATGAAGTGGGTGTCAAAAACCTTCCAACTTGCCTCAAGAAATAACCTGATGGCCGATCCAACCTCGTAACCAAAAAGCCCGTAATTTTACTGGATACAACTACGCGAGCTAGACGATTGGGGTTATATCAAAACCAAACAAAAATCGTCCGATATCTGCTCGCTCCCTCCAAGTGTCATTGAAGACAATAAGGTGCACCTGGTCCTGGGACGAGAGATTGGCCAGAGTTATAACGCAGACCGCGAAACCCCGGGGGTGTCTGTGTGCCTCTGAGATAGTAGAAAAATTCAACTAATCACTGCAGAACCGCTGGCGAGGTAAGTGATGCATCCAAATAGGACATTCACAGACAGTGCTCAACTGAGCGACTTCAATACCAGTTTAATTGTATAGCATTGCTGGCACCAGCACTTGGAAGTTTTGAGAAGGTAAAATTGTGGGACCTGTTTCGGGGATATTTCGCGTAATTGATGACGGCACATCGAAATCCTCCTACAGAACAGGAAATAACCCCAGTACATCTTGAACTCCACCGACATAAAGCATACGGGTCAAATGAACCCTTGCCATAACAAGTAGTTTTGCTTGCAAGAAAACTTCCGATGCACTTCGCTGGCATAGGTGATATAATAGATGTGGAAATACAGGGCTGTCAGTGGACTTTTAATTGGGGAGATTAGGATGGGAGCTGTGCATTGAAGGCGATAGCTTAGATGCACGAGACCCACTGAGGGCGCGACTAGGCTATGTCGGACAATGTCTCGAACCTCAAAGAAGACAAAGGATACCAGATGAAGATCAGATATATGGCAGATGAACTGATGAAGGGGCACTGTGGTTCAGTTGACTACAACTGAGAGAAAATGAAACCTCAGTGAAACATTCCAGAAGGTAGAATTGTTCATCAGTATCTGACCGTCCAAACACACTCCTTTCGCCCGTGTCGCAGGAGATCAGCTAAATATTTTTTTAAAAGTGTTCCGTCCATTTTCCCAGTAAAAATTTTTGTGAGTGAATTAATGAGCCACCTTCTTCACTTAACGTTTCACTGACCGTTGCCCTCCTAGGAGCAGCCGATCGTATCAGTTGATATCGGGAACGGATATTTCCGAAAGTGGAAACCTTTTCCATCTCTTGAGCTTTCGATGTCCACTGGAGCTCTCGGTCTTCCCTTAAACTTCTTACCTGGGGCGAGATGGCCCAAGTGGTTAGAGCGCGAATTTACTAACCGGAAGGTCCGTGGTTCGAACCTGACCTCTACCTCTCGACATCTGTCTAGGCTTGGGCAACCTGGCAGTATCCCAGCCCTCGTGCTTCCTTCGGGTAGCATGGCAGCTGGGCACCGGAAGGGTGTCAAGGCTGAGAGATGTATTTTTTTTCAACTTAAACTTCTTAGTAGTTGTTTGAGGGAGCTGTGTGCGCTGTCGTACTCGTCTCATGCTTGCATGTAGTTTAGAGCATCAATCACGCCTGACGATATCGGTGATATCCAGTGGTCTTGTAGTGGAATCTATGAAGTCGGACAGACAGCACTGAACGCCGCAAGCATAGCGCATCAAATGAACCCCTGCCAAATAAAGTAGTAATGCTAGCAAGAAAACTTCGGTCGTGAACCTTAAACCGCTTAGGGTGAGCTCAAATGTTCCCCGTTTCACTCTTCGGATATCCGGAGATCCTGACGCAATGGCTCGTGGTATCTACGGTGTGGAAGTTGCACTCAGCCCCAAGGCTGAAGGCGCTTTACTGGACGGGATCCCAGCAAACGGTCGTCTTTGCGCTGTGGGGATGTCTGGCCCAATTAAGACCAATGCAGGTAGATGCGGTAAAGTGTCCATTTGTCGCATCAGCATACGCCCCGAGAAGGACGGGTTTTATCAACATCTGTCACGACTACTTCTGTCACCAAAAAGGATGGATACAGTGATCCCGCCGGGTGATATGAATGCCCAAGTTGGACGAATAAGTCCAGAAGAAGCGCAATTAGGCGGCAGATTTGTGGTCGATGTTTACCGCTGGGTTAATGGGGAGCGACTGCTTCACTTGCATGCAGACCATCCTGTTGCTGGCCGTACGAACTGCCAACAGAAACGTTCCCCTCGGGTTACTTGGAGACCACCAGCTGCAAGACAGTCATGGATTCATTTGAACCAAGTGACCATCGGTTACCGATGGACAGCCTCAATTAAGGATTGTTATTCCTTCTGATCATGCCGTCGTGCGGACCAGACGATCACTTCACTTTTCGTCAGCACTATGCGTGCTAAAGCAGAGCAGCTTTGTTCGTCAACTCCATTATCAGCAAGTTTCAGTATTTCAGGAGTACCCAGTTGACCTGGCTAGAAACCTACTGGAAACGCACAGTCATGCGGATGATAAAGATCGCGTAGAGGCTGAATGGAAGCGAGTTAAAGAAGCTATGCTCTCAGCTTTCAGAACTGTCTGTCCAAGTCATCTGACTCGACTAAATGAACATTGGATATTGTCGAGATCAGCAGATTTTATTGCTACAAGAAAGGCCATACAAGCAACTGGTGACTTTGATGGCGCACGCACGTTCCTCAAACACCGGATAATCAGGAGCTCGAAGATTGCTGGGGAGCGCTGGTTGAAATGGACAAGGCTTCCACAGCAGGGACCAACCACGACTTACTTCAGCTGGTCTGATCAACCTACCAAAAGAAGGCAAGTGCCAGCGAAACGATATGCGACAACTGATCCATTAGCACTGCATAAAAAGTCCGGCGTCAGTATACGGCTAAAGCAGTCGTTCGTGTGCACCGTGTCCAATCAAAGTCGACCATTCGCTTGGGTTTCAGATGTACTGAGTCTGCCGATACTTGAGCTTATAACCCTCTGTAACAGAGCGCCCATTGTATATTTAAGGTTGTCTTTGATGGTGTTTGGGGACGCAAACAGACGCGACAAGCAGACAGCGGTGGAATTTTCGTTTGTAGGACTCCTTCACGGAAGTTGCCGGACGGACAGTACGGAGACAACCGTTAACGAGAATCCGGTCACTCAAGGGTCCTTATGCCCAGTGACTCAAAACAATGTTGACTCCTGCACATATCGCCACAGTGATCAGAGACGGGCAGTCGGAAGCAAGTGGATAGCGATCGGTCGTCATTATCATCTTTGGCAAGAGCACCAAGTAAGAACATCGGTGCTTCCCTGGTGTAAGACCATGTCGATTTATCTGGATAATAATAATAATAATAATAATAATAATAATAATAATCGTTTGGCTGTAGCACCTTTTCGGTGCACATGTGCCATGTTACCCAAAGAAGCATCAGGGCTGAAATACTGTCAGATTGCCCAAGTCGAGTCGAGATGCAGAAGTTGTGACCACGAATCTTGCAGGTAGCAATTTGGTGCCCCAAGCATCGAGGCTTCTTGAGATTCTTGTGACGCCTAGAAGCAGCCCAAAGAATATGGTTACAAATGGAGTCAGTCTATTTCCTGTAATTGGCATCCCCACCCCAGGCACACATTTCGAAAATGGGCACCGCTATGGTCCCACCCGCTTGTTGGCACGGTCCCTTCGGCCAAAAAGACAAGTGTTGGACAAGGGCGACTGAGAACTTCACCTCCATCAGGACAAGCAGCTCTGTGAAATCGTTCAGTTGTAACACCCTCCTGGTGCCCAGCTGCCATGCCACCCGAAGGAAGCACGAGGGCTGGGATACTGCCAGGTTGCCCAAGCCTAGATAGATGTTGAGAGGTAGAGGTCAGATTCGAAAGACGGAACTTCCGGTCAGTAAATTCGCGCTCTAACCATTTGAACCAGCTCGTCCCCAAAAGCTCAGTGAACCTCGAGGGGAAAAGGCATCCGCTTATTCGCGAAGTTGGCGGTTTCAGAATTACTGCCCAAGGCAGCGTCGCACGTCGGCAATCCGCCTGAGCAAGTTCAGGTGGCCAGTCGAACTTTTGTTGACAGTGTTCAGCCTGCAGATTTAGTCATTTCATCCGCAGGGTCCCCGAATAAAACAGTATTTTCCTCCACTGCTTTGTGGGTCATATTTTTGAATCAAAGGCTCAAAGTGGTGTATTAAAGCGAAATTCTCTTCTCGGCCTGGGAAACCGGGATGTATCTTTGCCCTCACAATTCTGTGTCCACCGGTGTCCCTCCAAAATCCCTTCCCACCACACAAGCAGAAGTTGCTGGGTCACTTGACTGTCAGCTATCTGACCGATAGGTCTTATGATCCCCGCTGCAGATCACCAATAGACAAAACAACACCTCGATGAACCCTAGAGATTCACTCTGCATAGGAGCTTTTAACGTCCGTACTGAATGCTGAATAGTCAGAAACCTTATCAGCCCTTAGAATAGGTGTACGCTGTAGCTCAAAAACATGCATAAAAGACTCAAGCGCGGTTACGCTTCTCAGGACGCTAAGGATGAACTCATCTCCTTCACACGACCTTACTGCCCGAGAGGTGAGTGACTCGAAATCGACCTCTTCATTCCAACTGCTCCTGTCTAGGCTTGGGCAACCTGACAGTATTTCAGCCCTGATGCTTCTTTGGGTATCATGGCACATATGTACCGAAAGGGTGCTTCAGCCGAACGATTATTATTATTATCCAGATAAATCGACATGGTCTTACGCCAGGGAAGCACGATGTTCCTATCTAGTGCTTTGGATTGAGTGGGTTTTCGAGCATTCTTCCGTTTATCCAAACATCTGGAGTGTCTACCTCAAACACATTTACATGTTTACTGTCTGCATTCCTCTGGTAATCTATTAAAAGTATAATAATGGTCCAGCTGTGAACACCCTTCCGGTGCCTAGCTGTCATGCCACCCGAAGGAAGGACGGGGGCTACGACACTACCAAGTTGCCCAAGGGGCCCCTTCGCCCACTTGTGACCTATAGACAGTCTCTATCTTGATAGATAGGACAGAGGCCATGATGAGCGGACGAGGACACTATGTCTGGAGAAGAGTAAAAGGGTTGGGTTAAACTGGCTACGCCGAGAACACCTCGTGAAACGCGCCTGAAGTAGTTACGTTAGCGTAATTAGTCATGGAAGCTAATTTGTTCCTTAAGCACCAGCTACGAGCTCCTTAAACCCTTGAAAGCACATGTGGTTAGATATACCAAATACCGAAAGCATGATGTGGCGTGATGTCACCATTTTTAACTGAGCCAATAATACCACCATAATAAGTAAACTGATTATAAGGGAAAAGATGTAGGGGCACGATACGAGTCTCGCAAAACCAGTCTTCATTGAACTCACTCGGCAGGAGCTGCAGGCGACTACTTTCAAATCTTGAGAATAGAGCCGAGCACACGCATGGGTACTGCCAAAATCAACTCCCAGAATAAGTTGTGCCATGCGCTATAAGGGAAAACGACAATCCGTAATTACAGGAATTGACAACCATGAATAGAGGTCGATTGTCGCGAACAATTGCTGAGGTTCTGAAGGTAGTGCACAGTTCAGTGGTGCTACCTGACGATACCATTAAGCCCAAGTGTGGAAGAAAATAAGACTTCAGAGAAAGTATTCTTGACTAGAGGAATTTCACAGGGTAATTTTACAAAGCCGTAAGTACAGGGGTTATTCACAATGTTCATCGGACGTGATCTTTGCCATCAATCGAGTGTGTTCCCGTAATCTAGCTTCGTGAATCTGTATAAGGGTTGACAATTCGTTAATCTGGTTTGTCAGTTCATCGAAAGTTTTCTGAATGTTGTCTTCCTTGTTAGCCTCCTTTCGGGCTTGTCTACGATACTCGTAAAATAGAATCGCTGCGCCGAAACAAAACATCAAAATTTCACCCAACATTTCCGCGCCAAGGTCAGCGGCTGCATCTTCGCTCAATTTCGCAACCTCTTTTGGCTTGGACAACCCCAATATCCGTAATTTCAGCCGAGTCTCCCACATGTGGTACACTGAAAACGACTGTTCGATCTCCCCTGGCTAAATCAGACTTACACTGAGCCGGAGGGAGACAGATGTACTGCCGGAAAAACATATTAGACTTGGCACGCTGCTTCATAAAACTCACAATTGGCTTACTGACCTGCTTCAAGGCCAAACTGCCAAGCTTAAAAACAGGGAAGGCACCAACCATACGGCTCAAATAATGTGATTTAAATGGTTCATTAGAACACACCGCCAATTGAGCATGAACTATGTGGACCCATTGGGTTCACTGATTTCCGTGGTACAAGAGTCCTTGGCCAGATGCTCACACTTTTCGGGACTTGCCGCTTCTGGGTACAGACTCGGGATACTTATGTTTTATCTAGACACCGGTAATAATGCAGTGTACAGTGTGTACATACAAGCGGAAATCCACAGGCCGATACTCTCCGACCACATTTTCGCTGAAAGAGATAGACATTGTATGTCTTCTCCCTATTTTGCTGGAGAGAAGAGACGTTCGGTAAAAGGTACTCCACTCTAAAGGCGAACGCCCAAATAAGTGCGTTCTTGGCACAAATTGCAGTTTTCTTTTTGTCACTTTCAGTAAAAATCTCATTTCTTATACATAAATAGTAATTGAGGTTGTGTTGGCGGGAGCATTAACTTGTAGTGAAGCGTCGTCATGGACAGTAATTTTGTTCGCGGAGGGGGGTAGAATGAGGAAAATTGGGCTGTCGTTATCCCTCCCAAAACTATGGAGGGTTGGAGTTGCCAACGTGAATTCGTGAAACCTGTCCCCGAACGAAACAGAATCTTTCGAAGTTTCCATTAGGTGAACCGCGGAGGAGTTAGCTTACTCAAGTACCCACACCATCAGAGACTGTGCAACGTAGCGAAGGGACCGCACGTGTATTCGCTCTTTAGAAATGGTAAGTCCAGGTGAGGCACCCACGTGGACAGTGGTGTTTAATAAAGAATAAGCCAGAGTTCGGTTGGGAAAGCTATCTGAAGGAGGAGGAAATATGCAGCCATCAAACGGACTTTGCATCACCTTCCGGCCGTGAACCCCGACAGAACAAATGTTCTAAAAAGGGATAGAAGTGATACTAATGGGTTTACTTCCCAAAATGTTTTCGGATGTACCAATAAAGGAACGGTCAACGCTCCGCAACTCAAACATGCTAAAAAACTGAGCAGGACCGAAAGCGAGTCCATGGGAGGAGGCTCACCACATGATGAGAAATGCAAAATTTCACGAACAAAACTAGAAGAGTGAGGCCGGATGAACATGAACAAACCGGTAGCTGATTGAGCCGGTTTGAACAAAAGCCCAAAAAGCAGCCGAAAATAACCTCCGGCAGCTGAGTGATAGCCGGGGTTATGTGGATCATGAATTAGAATGATGAAGTAGACATTGCTGGAGGGAATACAGGTTCGTACTCACGACCTGTGATCCCATCGAACCTAGATTAACTGGCTGGATTCGTTGTTGCGGTGCGGTCAGAGGTAAAATTCATTTGATGTAGTAAAGGGTTGTTAACGGGTGGCATGGAGCAAGCGCCATATAAAGTCATTGAATTGAAGTGACATGCCGAACGTGCGGTGGAACGCCAGGCTGGTTAAATTTATGGGCATAATTCTTTGAAGCATACCGAAAAACTCTCCATAATGACGGTTGAGTTCACTCAGTCTGGCCGTCCATACTTTCACGCAATAGCCCGAGAGTGCGCGATGGCATAACTGAGGACGCAAAGAAATTCATCGTGGGTGAGCCATCACACTTGTTAAGGCCAGGTCGTGCCACTAATGCAGTGGTATGTTGCGGTCTCTGGGCGTCCGCATAACAGGCGTCGTGGGTGTGCTGCTCCAATGAACGGCTAAAGGAATCAACGAAGACTGATACAGAATAACACAGATTTTCGGCCGTCTGTTGATTACTATGGAAGGGAAGCAAGCCGAATGACAACGAATCGGCCTTTCGGAGGATTTTCGCTGAAAATGGGAACATCCACCATTGTGTACGCCTGAGATGGGGCAACAGAATGCACCGATCTATAGAGGAAAACGCTCAGTGGAGAAAACTGATCAGTATGATAAATTTTTCGGGCAGTATAAACACATCAAAGAGGAAAGACGGTTGGAAGTGATTCAGCCTCCAGCGACTAGATGGTGGTCAAAAATGTGTACGTAGTTTTAGGTGTATGCGGTGACGATTTGTATGGAATTAGTCAGTTAGCTCGTTAAAGTCCTTATATATGGGGACGAAGCAGAGGATATTTGGTATGGTTTCAACTTCGGTCTTGGTGGATGGTGCTTCTCGAGAACGCACTTATAGGAAGCATGGGTCGATCAAGTTGAGAGCGAGGGGAAAGACGGGATAGCCTTACAGTACATTGCAAGGAACTTGGCTTCGTTGCCCGGGACCATTTTTTGGCACGGAACTGGTGGGCAGCTATCCGCAGACTCTAGCAATGGTAACTGAGGCGCGTGATTGGAGACCATCTTCAGGGTGATGGACCATAACCCAAGTTGACCAATGGTGGAACCTGCAAAATCAGCTTGAACGCCTCTGGGAAATTTGAATTACAATCAAAATTTGTTTCTAATTTTCCGCCCAGCTATAAGCAAAAGCGTGCTGTTTTGAACAGAAAAAGTATGTTGTTAGATATGTACCGGACAAGAGGCAGTGTGCGGACCGATTTTTTAATCCTAGCGTCGGATTATGGTAAGACCTGCATAATAATTATGATTGCATCTGCTCCCTTCCCCATATACGGTGTGTATAATCCCTCGTTTTCAAGCGACAGGGAGTTCGCCGATGGAAAGCGGACCGATTTTTTAATCCTAGCGTCGGATTATGGTAAGACCTGCATAATAATTATGATTGCATCTGCTCCCTTCCCCATATACGGTGTGTATAATCCCTCGTTTTCACGCGACAGGGAGTTCGCCGATGGAAAGCGATGGGAATCGGGTAGGGTATAAAAGCGTGATCAGATGTGCATTCTATGATAACCCAAAGTTTGGTGCTGCTTGGTGCAGTAGTACCATTTAGGCAGCACACCGAATTGTGTTCACAGCTCCAGGCATGGTGAAGCAGCACCCGGTGTTGATGGACACGAGAGTGGAAACCAGATATACCTAAAGAGCGGAGATGAGTTGAAGAGAGAACACTGCACAGTGTGCACGTCAGATGTCTTGGAGATCCCAAAATTTATATCTACATATTGTGTTCCGGCAATGGCAGGTGTATGTTGGCCTCCCTCTTGACCGCAAATTTGGAACAACATATTCGTAGATATCAAACATCGCGCTGGAAACTGGGTCACTTCATTCCTTCGAAGGGATCGGATGATACCTCAATCAATAAATTCCCCACAGGTTTGGAAATAAACCCATTATTATTGTCATTGCGAATACGGCGTTTCAGGCAAACGGACAAGAAACGTTGTACTGCCTCTGAGCGTAACGCGCTGAGCGTGCTTTTCCAAATCATAACACAGTAACATATTTAATGCCAACTGGTAGGATACGCGCCAAATGAGGCGTGATCGCGTCGATACAACATGAATGGGGGACAGCGACACATTGATGAGGAAGGTAGAAACAGAAAGTCACGCCTGTTGCGTGTAGAGTGTCAGTAATCGTGGGAATCAACATCCAGAACAATGAGGTATGAAGTACGATTAGTTCAACGATGTTGCCGGTCGGCTTGAACAAAAATGAGGAGTCAATGCTGGCCATGAGCTACTTCGGCCGCTTAGAAAACGGCCACCGTCACAAACAGAAAAGTGGAGATCGAGATGAGAGAAGTCAAAGCAGAGGCAAACTGAACGTTTAGTCTCAAAAATATTTTACACTGAAAAAAATTAGAGTTAGCTGTATTGCTGTTGCAGAGAAGTGAGCTGTAATAGTATTTTCTATAGAATGATAGTTCCGCTGCACAGGGCCGAACAGACTCAGTGAATGAAATCCCTGAACCATTGGATAGGCAAACTGAATTTGCAGCGGAAAACCAGGTTGGGCGAACTCAAACAAGAGGTTCGGCGGGTTGGAACCAACTCGTCCCAGAGGCGGTTGTGCTGAGGGAAACTTTTTTTGATAGTTACAACTGCATGCTTCGGTGAGTGGGAGGTGATGTTTATGGTAGAAGGAAAATAGTTTCAGGAATGCCACCAGAATGGCTATGGCAGTGCCGTACCATCATCGCACTGACATACTTTGGTTTCCGGATAGCCCCGTAACTGTGGTCAAGGTTGCAGCAGTGAGGAGGACACGCGTATTTCAGTGGTGCCCGTATCTGAACTAGACGAAAGGACTGCAGCAAGTAGAGCCGAGCTCACGTAGAGTCGCACGTAATTCCGGTTCATCTGCAGGACTACGCAACTGGGAGCCGGGACCAGCCAGATTTAATGACTTGAGACCATATGGGGCGTTTGGAGTAACTACAACCGAAGTTTGACGATGGGAAAAGGGGGAGTTTCGAGAGAATACAATGAGAACAGTAGCGTTCGGCGAGTACCAGGAGGCATCGGCTAAAGTGAGGTCCGATAGAAAAATAGTCTAAAGAGGACGACGGCAAGCTAAATGATCTTGTCAAATCGTAGTGCTTTGTTGGATGACCAAGGTCCGGTCAAGGTTGTAGCGGGAAACAATAGATCATTTTTAATAGACCTATACCCCATGTGCATGCAGGAAATTCAGATCCTGATTCAAGGAACCATTATTGGTGGTAAGCGTTGTGTCTCGTCTTCGCGCTAAGCGTCAGGCTATCAGAGGGCGCAAGGCAAGGGCGAGAGTGTTGTACAATTTTGTTAAGGTGTGTACATTCCCACCGAGATATCCAGCAACGAGGTCAGACCGTGGACTATTTAGTTACGGAAATGGAAATGTGAAGTAGTTTTTAGCTCAGTTCAGTAAGTTAATCTCTCTGCTCACAAGATTTAGGTCCAAAGCCAATGGTCTCAAACATGACATCCGTCAGGGGAGGTCCAGAAATCAGGGTATGTCAGTTTATTGATTGCTCGGCACCGTCATACCAAGTTTGGTAGCATACACGTAACTACTCACTTTCTACTTTGATAATGCACTATTGCACACTTGTAACTTATCGGTAACTGCGAACAAACCGTTGCCTTGGCCCCAGATGCCTCCGGGACTCGTATATTTTAATATGCTGAGCCTTCCGTTTGCATCCCGGTGACT